TCTACTTCCAGTGAGGGCACGTTGAATGCTGCACCCTCTGGAGGGGAGGACCGCTGTGTCCTCACATGGCAGAAGTCACCAGAAGGGCAAAAAGGAATGCCCTCCTTCCATCACAACTTTTCATAAGGGCACCTAATCCCACCATGAGGGTGAAGCCCTCATGACTCAATCACCTCCCCAAAGTCACACCTCCCAGGACTATTGTATTGGGGTATAAGTTTCAATATGATTTTTGGAGGAGACAAAATATTCAAACGATAACATTCTGCTCCTGGCCTCCCAAAATTTATGTCTTTCTCACATACAAAATACGCTCATTTCATCCAGCAGCCCTAAAATATCTTAATTCATTCCAGCATCAATTTTTAAGTCTAAATCCAGAGTTTCACTCATTTAAATATTACATGGGTGAGGATCATGGTATCCTAAGGCTAAGTAGAATCCAGAAATGGACCCACACATTTAAAGTGAATTTTAATTTCAACAAAGGGGGCCAAAGCAATTCAATTTAGGAAGGTTTCAAAAAATGATGCTGGATCCTTTGGATATAAACTGAGACCCAAAAAAAACTTCAATCTTATCTCACTCCATAAACAAACAACAACAACAAAAATAAACAATGGTCATCTAGCACCTCTTGATTATCCTGGATAGAGTTGGAGCCCATTCTCCCAAGTGAAGTATCACAAGAATGGAAAAACAAGCATCACATGTACTCACCATCAAATTGGTATTAACTGATGAACACTTAAGTGCACATATAGTAATAACATTTATCAGGTGTTGGGCAGATGGGAGAGGGAAGGAAGGTTTGAGTATATACACACCTAATGGGTGTGGTGCACACCATCTGGGGGATGGACACGCTTGAAGCTCTGCCTCAGTTGAGGCAAGGGCAATATATGCAACCTAAACATTTGTACTCCCATAATATGTTGAAATAAAAATAGTTTAATAATTACCTGAAAACAGATCAAAGACTTAACCCTATCTAAATTCTAAAAGAAAAACAGCAGAAAAATCTTTGTGATGTGGGTTCTGCAGTAATTTTTTCAATATACATAAAAAGCATAATCCTTAAAGGACAAATGGATAAGCTGAATTTCATCAAAATTAAAAACTTATGCTTGCCAAAGGACACTGAATTACTTAAAAACCAAGTCATGGAACACAAGCAAATATTTGCAAAATATATCTGATAGAAAACTTCTCTTCCAAATATTAAAAAAAGGAATACCAATAATAAGACAAATAACCTGATTTAAAGAAAAGGGTGTTAACTTAAAAATCATAAAATCTATAAATTTAGAAAAGGAGAGCTTTATTTTTTATACAAGGTTACAACTTGCAAGGTGGCCATTCTGATGGGCTGGGAAGCATAGTGTCCAACTGATGCGGAAAATGTCAGGTGCCGGGACATGGGCAATTGCCGCCTCCCTGTAGTTCCGCATCTCCAGGGGCCAGTGCTGTGCCTGGCCGGTTAAAGGCATGCCACTGGGGCCGGCCCGCAGCACCTAGCCGCCCTGGACACCCGCCACCGGGACCCCACGTGCCGGAATGCCCCAGGCCCTTGTGCAGCGGCCTGTTTCTGGCCACGCTATTTGCGTGATCCTGATTGGATAATTTTTGAATCCCACTGTTTTTGGTTGGATGTTAAGGCTTGTTGTTGATTGGATGTTAAAGCCTATTGCTGATTGGATGTTAAAGCCTGTTGCTGATTGGATGTTAAAGCCTGTTGCTGATTGGATGTTAAAGCCTGTTGCTGATTGGATGTTAAAGCTTGTAGTTGATTGGATGCTTCTTGAGCCCTACCAAGGGTATAAAAGCAGGGGCAGAAGTGCAGGAAGGAGAGAGAACATCGAGGGAACATCAGAAGACTGGATGAGAGCTGTAACACTAGGTGTTCTGAGCCTGCTGTAGAAGAATAAAGGCTGTTCTTTGACTCTTCCTGTGTCGCTTGGTTCTTTCCCTGGTCAAATGAATAAGAGCTGTAACAAGGGCTGTAACACTAGCTGTACACACTGCTGCAACACAACAAAGACCAGAGACAGGCACTTTGAGGGAAGGAGGGGCAAGACAGGAATTTGAGCTGAATAGGTGGGCTAAGTATTCATCAGGTTACAGGAGAAGCTATGAATATTTATGAAGGTGGTCCTGATGCATGTATACTGAATAAACATATATGTTACATGTGACCCATGTTCAGTTTGGGGTGGAGACTTGACATTTAAGTGTATTACAGTTAGGCCCTATGCATCAAAAGGTCTTTTCAGGACACAAAGGCATTGAAGTGTGCAGCCTCTGTAAAACCAGCCAGAACCAGTCCATGGTCAGTGGTCTCTTATCAGGAACAAGTTACTGAAATCAGCCTCTTGCTCAATCAAAGCTGTAGTTATGGATTATAGAACTGGGGTGAGGGTCAGTGTCTGGAAGTGAAGCTGCAAATTGTTTTAATATTGATTATTTTGAGGCCAGTGCTTGTTTAGCTGCTAGAGAAAAAGGAAAATCCTTTTGGCAGTAAGAATGTGGTTTATTCTTTACGTGTAGGAGTGTATGACTTAACCCTTGCCTGGCATGGCCTTAAGTCCTTTATAATTTGGTATCTTCTTGCTGCAAAGTCCACTTTGTCAATCTTATGATCTCTTTTTTAATATTAATGCCAGTCAGTTGTTGTGTCTAAAAGGGAGGGGGTATAATGAAGCATGTCTGACCTCCCATTCTGTCATGGCCAGGAGCTCAGTTTTTCAGGTTTTTCTGAAATCCTTTTGGCCAAAAGGGGTCCATTCAGTCATTTGAGGGTCTAGGATTTTATTTTTGTTTTATATGGGCAAAAGATTTGAATAGACATTTCATGAAACAAGGCATACAAATAGATTTTAAGCACATGTTATTAATCTTTAGGGAACAGCAAATTAAATCATCACCCTCTGGAGTGTCTTAAACTAAAAAGACTTAAAATACTGAGGGCTGGTGAGGATATGGAGCAACTGAAATCTCATGCATTGCTATTAAGAGGCCAAATGGTAGAGTCATGTTAGAAAACACATCTGACCAGCAATTTCAACCCTATATCTTTCATTAGAGAGAAATAAAAATATATGTTTATATAAAGATTTGAACTTGAATGTTCACAGTAGCTTTATGCATAAAAGTCCAAATTTGAAAGCAACCCAAATGTTCACAAATTGTGTATATACACAAATTATAAGATAACCATACAATGAAATACTATTCAGCAATGAGAAACAATAGACTGCTAATGCCTGCAACAACATGCAGAAAACAGGGTGAGTCTGGGCAAGCAGGGAAAGAGAGATGACTGAAGGGAGAATGGAACAGTAAACACGTGCACAAATCTAGTCCCTCCATAGGCCTGGGTTTTACGTGTTGTATCAGTTGGGCTACCTTGGGCCAAAAATAACAGAAAAACTATTTCTGATGGACTTATCATTTCACATCATCAGAAACCCAAAGGCAGGATGAGTGTGGCCATGCTGGGAAAAGATGTTTGGTTCAGACTCTGGCCCCATTTCTCTGAAGCCACCTTATCCCTGCCCCTCTCTTCTTGTCATCTTCATCCTCAGGTGGAATTTCCACAGTCTCAGACCTCTATCAACAGCACGTGCTCCATCCTTACACTTCACTTGACCCAGCTTCCCAGGGCCATGGGCTGGTGGTGGAGCAGTGCTCACCTGAAGGAAATTGGGGTGTTGCAAAAAAGGGCAAAGCACGAATCCTTGCTGGGTAGGCAAACAGCCATGTCCTGGCCACATGTGATAGCAGAAAATGACTCATTTTTATGAAAAAAACAAAACACAAATAAATGGCCAATGGCAGCTATAAGACAAAACACAAGGAAGAGATGGTGTGTTAGTCAGGGTTCTCCAGAGGAAGAGAACCAACAGGATGTATGTGTGTGTGAGAGAGAGAGAGTTATTTTGAGAAATCGGCTCCCATGATACAGGGCTGACAAGTCTAAAGTCTATAGCACAGGCCGGCTGGCTGAAAATTCAGGTAAGAGTTGATGCTGCAGTCTTGAGTCTAAATTCTGCAGGGTGACAAGCTGGAAACTGAGGCCAGACATCTATGTTTCAGTCTGGAGGCAGAGTTCCTTCATCCTCAGAGTACCACGGCCTTTCCTTGTGAGCCCTCAACTGGTGGGATGGGGCCCATCCATGTGGTGGAAGGTCATCTGCTTTCCTCGAAGTCTACTGATTTCAATGTTAATCTCATCTAAAAAATATCTCTACAGCAACATATAGGTGAATCTTGAAACACCTGGACAGCAGAGCTCCCAGGTTGACACATAAAAGTAGCTGTCACAGACGGAGTTGGTAACCCCGCTGACAGTATACTTGACAGTTCTGTCTGAGTGTAGGAGCACTCACGGGAGTGGAAGCATAATGGCACCAGTTTGAGCCTGTAATCACCCAGAGCACTATGTGGGACCTTGTATTTAATTAGCCTTTAGCAATGAACAATGAAGCCTTCAAGATAAGAGGAAGTTCACTGAAGTGCTCCGCCCATGTTGCCCGCCTTGAGGGAGAGGAGCAGCAGTCCCGTCATCCCCGCCGGCCCCGGGACCATGCACACGGGCCGCTGAGCAGCAGCACACTCGGGAGAAGGCGCAGCGCTGATCAAGTGGCCACGAGGCTTCAGTCTCTCCAACCCTCAGGCTTGCATTAGGCACATTCCAAATTATTTGGTTGGATTTGTATGTCTACCCTGCAAAATAGGTGATATTATTCTCACATTGCAATCGAGAAAACTGAGGCTGAAGAGAGGTTAAGATCATAGGGCTAGTAAATGACTGAGTAGGGATATCAGCTAGTCCTAGCTAGGGCCAAAACCCACATGGAGGGCAGCGGGCCCTGCTGGCTCCCTGGCAAGGTCCTCCCAGTGACTCCAAGGAGGAAAGAACTCCCAAGAGCAGAGTTGCTGCTTGCAGGCAATAACCACTCCAGAATGTCTATCTGTGTTCTAGAAGGTTGGCGGAAAGAAAAGGGTCCTTCCCCTTCCCCAGCCACTCCCACCCAACCCACGCTGAAACAAATCACGTGCATGGGGGGCCTGGAGGAGCAGTCATCGCCCACCCCACGTTGTACACTTGGCCGGGAGGGAAGAGACAGAGGGGACAGCTCTGACTTCTGAACTCCGCACATTGTCCCAGGAACAACTTGGCAGTCCAGAACTTCAGCAGCACTCAGAGGACAACTTAACTTGTCATCCCAGATTCTGGCATCTGTGGGTTAAGAACTTGTCACTCCAAGAGGTTTGTGTCTGCTCTGACCCAGTAGGGCTCCTTAACCCCCAGCATACAAGGTCCCTTTTTGTCACCTCTAGACTAGATTCACACCAGATCAACTCTCACCTGCTGGAGAGGAACCAGAACCACGATACCGCAGGGCTTAACAATCAGATAAACCATATCCCACATCACAGTCAAATATATTGAAAATAACCATTTAACAAATGTATTCGACAGGTATCTTGTTGGAATATTTAACCTTTACAATGACACTACAAAGTTGGTATTATTTTTCCCATTTTGTAGATTCAAATACTGAAGTTCATAGAAGCTAACTTGCTCAAGATTGCACAACTAAACTTTGCAGTTGACTCAGCCTTAACTCCAAGACCTGATTTGAGATATCTGAGGTTAGAAAGGATGTCTAAAAATAATGATTAAAAACCATGACTACCACTTTCCTACAGCTTATTAAAACCTTAAGAAAAGAAAATCTTTAAATTTAACCACCATTAAATGCCTCATGGATCAGGCATGATGCTACACTTACTGGTATTCCTATTTTATTTGCAGAACACACTGTGGAGTGGAAAAGAGAAGCAGACAATTAACCAGCTGTCATGGAGCATGATCAGTCCCAGAACGGAAGTGTAGCGTGATAGCTCCGAGAGCATGACAAGCTGAGAAATCAATCCTGAGCGTGGTGGGCAGCTTCAAAGAAGAACAGATGTTTAAACTTGGCTTTGAAGGTGGAATGGTCTTTCAGTAAACCCAGTAACGACTGTAGCAAGTACTGACAGACTTCTAAGCACCAGGCACAGAGTAAAGGTGCATAGGGGAGAAGAAAAGCTCAAGTGTCATCCAAAGTGTGACAAGGTGAATGTGTCAGTGTGTGGCACAGTTGGGTTAAGAAGCATTAGTGTTGGGAGTGACAAAAAAAAAAAAGTAGGTTGAGAATAAAGTACAAAGTGCCCTGAATGTCTTACTAAGGACTCCATTCAATAAAGAAGAGGTAAAGAATAAGAATGCAAACAGAATGAATTTCAATTAAGTAGTGAGTGGTGATTGTTACATATACCCCTGACATTTCATCACACTGTATTGGTCAAGATAGGCTATTTTGTGCTTGATAACAAAGGCTCCCCAATACCTCTGTGGCTTCATACAACAAAAATTCATTCGCCACTTCCATAAAAGTGCAGGAGTGTCCTGGTGGCACCGTGTAGCCACTGTCCAAGGAGAAATTTTGAGATCCAGGCAGCTTCCAAAGAATGAGTCTGCCATCCCAATAGACACTCTCGTGGCTGCCACAGCAGGTACGAGCTCTTCATTGCTGCAGTCCAGAAGTGACACCTGAGAATTCCACTCACAGCCTGGGGGCTAGAGACAGTGACATGACACCATCCACCTGCAAGAGGGCTGGGATTGGGAGCCTTCCAAGTGCTGTTGAGCAGTGGAGAAAAGAGCATAAGTAGTCAGTGAGCATTAGGGACGTCTACCACAAACACGAATGAGTTAAATATTTATTTGGCTTAGTCCCTGCTGACATGAACATGCCGAGTGTCAAACATTTCTCTAACACTTCTTTCCTTATCATTTTAATTTGTGGTTTTAGTTTCAGAACAAAGCTTGCTTTTCACATATTTTGCAACTTAATTCTTTGGGTTACAGAATGGCCTCCATTTAATATTCACTTGGAAGAAAAGGGATATTTTAAAATAGTGATTATGTTGATTTAATAGCAACACTGTTAAATGAAAAAAAAGTTCTAAAATACATCCTTTCATGTGGTTACAGATTGTAGATTCCTTTTAAATTCTAGTTAGCTTTGCACAGAAACCCTCAATGTAGAGAATTTGATGCCTGTGCATCTCCAAACTCCACCTAAACTGAGCCTGACACACTCCTGACCTCTCGCCCACTTGTCCATAAGGGTGACTTGCAAACACCCATACTTCCTCCCTCTACAGTTGGTTTCATGCTCCTCCAGCGCCCAGCCCTCCTGGTGCCAGGTTGTGCTTGGCTTGTGGCTCGAGAGTCCAGTCCAGCATCTGCAGCTGCCTTTCCAGGCCTCTGGCTTGGATTTACCTCACCTATTCTCCCACTTTTTGGAAGGATCTGCCAGTCCCCTAGGATTCTGCCCCAAGCCTGGTTCCCTGATCTTCAAAACAAGTGTATTTGGAAGCCACTTTTACCTACATTCATCAATAAGCACAAGATCAGTGTGGGAGATTACACTGGCAATTGTAGGACACTAGGGGAGAAGAAGTCTATGGCCAGCATCTGGGGCCAGGAGACACCTGCTCACGCACATCTCATCTCTATTATTCTAAAGAATCCGCTTTTCCAAGGTTGGCAAGAACACTCCTGCCTTCCTTGGGATTTCCACTCGGTGACATGGGAACCCCTGGGCTCAGTTGCTTCTGGACAACTATGGGGCCTTCTCTCTTGACCACAGCATCTCCAGATGCCAAATGTGCTTGTTCAAAGCCCCTCCCTGATCCTAGGTCAAACGCTGTTGCCCTCGGTAGGCTGAGGGAAGGCCGTCTCTTTCCAAATTGCATGTGCTGTTACTATTCCTAGAGTAACATGCTTGTGACAAACGCCACAGGCATCCTCTCGGCTCTGTCTCAGGTCAAACTCCAGGACTCATGGAACCCACTACCACATTTCCTGTCCCATCCAGGGGAACCCATCATACAAAGCACCTGGCTACACCTCCTCTTATTTGAAAACCACCAAAGCCTTCTGAGAGTCCATTTTTTGGGTTTCTGCAAAGCGTCCTACAGACCTGGAAAATGGAGATCTCTCCACTGGAATTACTCCTGAGGACAAAAAAAAAATGGGATAGTAGGTCTCAGATGTCACCAAGCATGGCCAGAAGGATTCTTCTAAAGGAACAGTGAAAATATAACTCGAGTTGGCGTGCCCTGCTACTTTAACTTCTCATGACGTCATCTCGTTACACTGTTGCGAAAAGAATCCAAAGCCACAAGACTCGGCACCTGCCACTGAGAGCCTTCTAGGCATTCAGCACACATGTCAAGCATAGTACTCGTAATCTTCACAAATTCCCTGGAAGCCAGGAATGCTGGCATCTCCATTTCACAGGTAAGTAAAGAGCAGCTCAATGGGGAGGAGTTCTTAAGCTTGCAGGTCCTGAACCAGGACACAGTCAGGCCTGCAGACTGCTCAGGAAGTGCGTACCAACACAGGTCTCATCGCTGGGACCCCAGGATCCAACGCCAGCTGCACCTTCCATGACTGATGGGGCCATGGCACCTTCTGAAGCTCCACAAGCCTCATTTTCAGCGAGTGAGGGGGCAGGGTGGGGGAGAGAGCATGCACGAGGAGATTAGTTTACTTTAAGGAACTGGCTCACACAGTGGTGGGAGCCGGCTAGTCTGAAATCTCTAGGGCAGGCCCGCAGGGTGGAAGTTCAGGTAAGGCTGATGTGGTCCTGAGTCTGAAGTCCACAGGGGAGACTTGTTAGGCAAGAAACACAGGCAGGGTTTTGATCTTGCGGTCTTGAAGCAGAATTTCTTCTTCTTTGGGGAAGCTCAGTCTTTGCTCTGAAGGAGTGGAGGAGGCCCACCCACATACGGAGCTGGTCATATGCTTTACCTAAGATCCACGGACTTAGATTTAATAACATCCGAAAAATACCTTCGTGGCAACGTCTAGACCAGTGTTTCAGCAAACATCCGGGCACCGTGGTCCGGCCAAGGTGACATATGACGTTAACCATCACAGTCCTTGTGCTCAGAGGACAGTGCAAAACGGTGCTGCAAGTGTTCTGCTGCTCATGTGGACTCCTTTTTCTTTCCATTTTCTGACAACTTCAGGCACTACCTGAGGTCGTGTCGTGTGCCAGGTGGAGCCTTGGGGTGGAGACTGTGCAGGGCTGTCCCCCGCTCTGCACCGGGCTCTGAGCAGCTGTCCCGGCTCAGAGATCCAGCTGAGGACATGCTCCTCCTGCTGGCTTTCAACTTGGGGGTTTTTCCTTTCAATTTGTTTGTTTTTCTTTCCAAATCCTTGAGGATATATTTATTCTGCCTTAAGAACACTCAACCCTTTGTAACACTGCCATGTTTAGTATAATCTGAGGCTCTGATTTATGCTGTTTCTAGTTGCTTTCCCTTTTGCCATCCATCGTGCTAATCTGCAAGTTTACTGTTTTTACTGTTCCTTTTATTCAAGCTATCTATTCATGACAAAAAGATCTCTTCATGTGTATTAGCCTTTGTTTACAGTTCTTTCCATTCATAGAGCTTTTTTTCAGCCCCACAGGTATTTTTCTCTTTCCTCTACCCTCGAATCCTCTCTCTTGCATGATTTGTTTCCAGATCAATATTCCATCTCACTGGACCATCCTTCCCTGCTTCTGTGGAGATGTTTATCTAGCTAACTCTCTCTTAGATTTTGTGCTTTAACTATTCCTCCTTTTGTCATTTATTTTAGTGTTTCCATGTTTTCTACTCAATTCTAAAAGCACTTCTGCTTTAATAATTTTTCTCCAACTTTATTATTTTATCAACATTTCTTTTTACTACATAGATTCACATGTCTGCCTGTCTGCCTCTCTCACGTGAGAGCTCGAACTTGAACTTGACTGTAGCCGGGGCAGGTAAGAATTTTGGCACATGCGCTGACGTGAACTGCATTCTCAATCTTCCGTATCTTACGGCTTAAATTCTGTCTCTATTCTATACAGTGTACTGTCCTCCCATTACAGAGATGGAGCCCCACGTAAATCGGCAAAAAAGTGTGGTTACAAAGCCCCTGGCTGGTGAAGAGACTGTAGCAGAAGTGCCCAGCGGGTGGCCTTTCTCGGAAGGGACTGGAGGCAGCTGGACAGCACTCTCCCTGTGCCCCGGCCTCTGAGCAGGGAGCTTGTCAAGATTCCTGCATACAGAAAGTTTAAGGCCTCCGTCTAAACCGCCTCTCTTCCCTCCCGCTTGTCCCCTGCCCCCCATCCATCCCCACAAGAGCCCCCTCCCCACTGGGTGTTGACTCTCCAGGGCTGCTTCCCCAGGACATCGCAGTCCTTTGGGGCGGCCCAAGTGTCAGGCACAGGCCTGGAGCTCCTGGGGCAGCTCCAAGGGCTTCCCAGTCCCTCACCAAGACCCGCGGGGACCCACCAGGCCCCGAATGGGCCAGGCAGGCAAGTGAGGCTGCACAGTCGAGGCCCCCCACCCCGTTTTTTAAATAGTCCAACACCAGTTAACATACATTATAGTCAGATATGTGGCATCCAGCCCATTATTCTAAGACATTTTTGCAAATGGTATTTCAAAATTCGTTTCTTCCAGCCTTTTCCTAAAGAGACCAAGAACAGTGTACATTTCAGAAATTCAGCAGTAGAGCTGCTTTTCAGCAGTTGCTTACTCTGGACAGGGTGGCCAATGTCTTCTATTCTTGTCCCTCTGCCACCTCACCCCACTGTGGTTCTGCACAATCCCCTGTGACTTCATTGGTCTTCTGTGCTTGTCCTAACCCCTGGGTGAGTGTGGCCACGGGGTACCCCAATGGGCCAGCAGCTGGTGGGAGGGGGCAAGATCCCCCAAGCAAGAGGGTCTAGGGGTGACAGAAGCAGATTCTTAGGTTCCAGAGTCAGGCTTCAGTGTCTGAGAGGCCCACTTAGATTTGTTTATGGTCACCAGGAGTAGCCAGAGCAGCAAGAGAATGCCTCCCACTTAGGGACTCCTTCTCATGGGTCAGTCATGATGCAAAGCCCTTCAGCTACTCATTTCCTTCTTACTACTACTACTATTACTCATTACATCCTTACTTACCTAAAACTGCAAGGTATGCAGGTGTCTGTGGCAAAGCCAAGTGTTACCTGCTAAGATCAAACAGTAAAAGTAAGCACTGGTGTGGAGCATGTGAGACCGGAGGGGTGCAGACCTGCCCAGGAGTCCACTGGTGGAGGCGGCAGGTCCAGATAAGGCAGCTTTCTGGCCCCGGTGACAGACACCCCAGAGGAGAGAGCAGCCTTCACCTCTCTCCTCCTGTTGGCCTACTTTGCTCACTT